AAGAGGCTCCAAGGAGCATGAATCGCTCACCTGGGCACCTGAAGTCTGACAGGTGTGAATGAAAATGCTGCAAATATCGGTTTCAATTTGCAAACCAAAATTTATTTATAAAGATTTGATAAACTTCCAACATTCATAGGATCCCAGTTCTAAGGTCTCTGTCATATGCATAGCTTTATTGTTTTGTCTCCAAATGCATTTTATCTCTATGTAATCAATTATCTTGTAAATATTGTGTTTTAATGAATTTTCAGCAATGCCAAAGAAACGAAAGCAAAGTGTTTATAGGACATATACCGATGAAAATTTCATCAAGGCAATAGATGGCATCAAGAGTGGGCGAGTATCACAGAGAAAGGCGGCACCTCTCTATTCAATACCCCAAGCCACGTTAAGTGACCACATGCGGGGTCGAGTTAAAGATAACACACCTGTCGGACGCAAGCCAGTAATACCCATAGAAATAGAGAAACAAATGGTAAACAAATGTGCCCAGGCTGCCGAAATGGGATTGGGCATGAATAAGGTCCAAGTAATGGAAAAGGTGGGGCACTTAGTCAAAGAGCTTAATCTTGATCAAAACTTCAAAAACAATACACCAGGCAAAGACTGGTGGTATGGGTTTAAGGGCAGAAATCCCACTGTTACACTTAGATCTCCGGAAAAATTGACAAGCATCAGAGCAAGAGCGCTCAACTCCGTAAAAGTAGGGGAGTATTTTCTGGATTTAAAGAAAGAGATGAATAGGTTAGGGTTGAATGATAAACCAGAACTAGTTTGGAATATGGACGAGAAAGGTGTACCACTTGAACACACCCCAAGCAAAGTAGTCGCTGCCAAATCATCTAGGACCATACCTGGAAGGGTTTCAAATACACGTGAAAGAAACACAATAGTCGGGTGTATCAATGCTCGAGGTGACAGAATGCCCCCACTTATTATCGTCAAAGGAAAAACACAAAAAGCAGTAATGAGCTACAACACCGCAGACGGGCCAGTAGGTGCAACATGGACTTACCAAGCCAAAGCATGGACTCACCATTCACACGAAGTGCTTGGGCTAATAGAAAAAGCTAGGGAAAATAATATAACACTATTAACTCTACCGCCACACACTACACATTATCTCTGTCCCTTGGATCGCACTGTCTTCGGTCCTCTAAGTAAAAACTATAATAGGATCTGCTCAGAATATTGCCAAAATCCTGGCAATCTTGTTAATAAAATGATTTGGCCAGGTCTGTTCAGGAGGGCATTCGAAACGGCATTCAAACCAGAGAACATAATAGCAGGATTCAGATCGTGCGGAATATTCCCATGGAACCCCTTAAAAATTCCATCTGCTGCCTTTGCTCCTGCCTCTGCCTTTGATACCAACAAACCTGACACAAATGAACATCCGTTACAATGGGTGATCCGTAGGTCCTCCGAAACCGAGTCTAGAGTAGACGAAGTCACCGTAGTGAGGACAAAACCAACAGCCGGCCGCGAAGCTAGATGTATCACTACTGAAATCACTGACACCGTCCCGTTAAATGAAATTCAAGTGGAGTCATACGAACAGAATGTCATCGATGTTCCAGGAAGTCCAGAAGATCCGCATTTTATGCACACTCTCTGCAGATGTTCTTTTACCAATTGTTGACAGTGAGACCAGAGAGGCAGTTGAATCCCTGATTTCCCTCGATAGCAGTTTCAGTGAAGTTATTTACGAAGTCGACTCGGTGATTCAACCAGTAGCATAGACCCTAATAACACCGCCGCAGAAAAAGGCTCGAATAAACAAAAAATCTGTGACAGGACACAGAATATTGACATCTGATGAAGTAATAGAGAGCAAGCGAAAGATCGAGGACATGAAACTGAAAAAAGAGCAAGCAAAGGAAAAGCGGCTCAAGATTAGAGAAATGATAAATGCTAAGAAACAAATAGAAAAGGAAATAAAAGCTGTGAGATCGGAAATTGATATAAATGTATAAAATTTAAATTAATAAATGTGGATAGTGTCCACATGTGGACACAGATGATGCCCCCGCTTGCATATCATATAGTTATAAAGGGACATAACTGAAGAACGGTAAAAGTGACGCTACCCAAATTTGAACTTGATTTGATTTTTGTGGTAATAAGCATTGTGTGTAAGTCTCATAATATTTGGTTGAGGCTAACTTAAGTAGAGAACAGAAACTAAAAATTCAGCAATTTTTCTATTTGTAAACACTCATAACTCTAGAACGGTTGTGTATAAGTTTTACAACATTTGGTTGAGACAAACTAAAAAATTCAGCAATTTTTATGTTTATAAAGGGACATAACTCTAGAATGGTAAAAGTGTTGCCACCTAATTTCGTACTTAATCTGTATTATGTAGTAATGAGCATTGTGTATAAGTTTCATAACATTTGGTTGAGGCAAACTCAAGTTAGAGAACTGAAACAAAAAAATTGTACTTGATCCTTACTGAGTTTTGTGGTAATGAATATTGTGTATAGGTTTCATAATGTTTGGCTGGGGAAAACTTCAGTTACAGAATGGAAACTAAAAAATTTTGCAATCTTTCTATTTATAAAGGGGCATAACTCAATAATGGTTAAAGTGACACTACCCAAATTCAACTTGATCTGTGTTTTATCAGTGGAAGTCAAAATTAAACATTGCATTGTATAAAGCAATGATTGTAGTTGATTCAACTATAATCATGGTCAAAGGAAGATAACTCCAATTTTAAAAATATATTATATAAACTTGATATTTAGAAGAAAATAAAAATTTTGCAATTTTTCCTTTTATAAAGGGGCATAACTCTAGATCGGTTAAAGTGACACCACCAAAATTCAAACTTGATCTGTGTTTTGTGGTAATAAGCATTGTGTATAAGTTTCATAACATTTGGTTGAGGCAAACTTAAGTTAGAGAACGGAAACTAAAAATTTTGCAATATTTCCTTTTATAAAGGGGCATAACTCTAGATCGGTTAAAGTGACGCCACCAAAATTCAAACTTGATCTGTGTTTTGTGGTAATAAGCATTGTGTATAAGTTTCATAACATTTGGTTGAGGCAAACTGAAGTTAGAGAACGGAAACCAATTTCGGGACGTACGGACGGACAAGGGTAAAACTTAATGCCCCCTCCGCTACGTAAGGGGCATAAAAATGGTTGGTGCCTTAAAGTTCCTGGTTACTAGTACTTGTCTTACTTACGAAGTTTTGGGGTCGAAAGGTTTTACCCTATCTGTCTACATTGTATGCCTGTCTGTCTGTCTGTCCGCAATATGTTGTCCACTATTCCTCCTTCACGACTTGCAGGTGTAATTTCCAATGAGACAACTCTTCACAAGAGACCAAATAACACAGAAATTAACAACTATAGGTCACCGTACGGCCTTCAACAATGAGCAAAGCCCATACCAATGTCTTGTTTATACTTAAGTTATATTACTTCCTTGGAAGACCTCGTATAGATAGAAAACAAATTATTCAATCCTCATCTTCGCCAGCCAAAGTTACGATCACTTTATTATTCTCTACACGGATCGTAACTTTTGGCTAGAGAAGATGTTTTTAAAATTTTAAATGATGAACCGATAACTGTCTCTGCCTTGATGAAAAAAATAGACACACTGTGTTTCTCAGGAACTGGATTGGACGTAAAAGTTAACTTTACAAAATCGTTGGTCACACAGAAGCTCAAATAAGCAAACAAAAAAAAAGGAGAGAAAGAAAGTTTGAACCCCCAAAAAACACACACACACAAACTGATTGTCGTGACACCAGATAACTTGTTTCTTCTTAACAATGAACAGAGACTATATATTGCTAGCTACATGCATGTGTACATAAATTGAGTCCAGCCAGTGGCGGATCCAGGTGGGGTGGGGGGTGTAACCCCCCTTTTTTTTGACGATCAATGCATTTGAATGGGGACATATAGTTGGAACCCCCCCCCTTTATCCTGGGTTAGGAACCCCCCCTTTTAAAAATGACTGGATCCGCCCCTGCCAGCGTACGCTAAAACAATCGCAGTGAGTACGGCGTACGTTTTAATTGTTTTATTGAGTCACGCAAAACTTTGTATCTGCGTACGTTTTAACATAGAACATATATTTTTTTCTGCATACGGTAGTACATGTACATGTACCGCGTACGCTCTAAAAACAACCCCGAATCCTGAAAAAGTGGGGTTATACCCAAATACATGTACGTGTTTCCTGAATAAACCAGTGATGAGAACATTCAACAGATTTAATCAAATGAGGCATGCATGTTTAAAAATTCAAACATATAACATTGAAAAAACAAACATGCAAGTATTATATTTAATAAAAACTGGCATTGTCAAGACTATCATCCTAATTGCTGTCCTGTAAAGATCGTTAATTGCTCACAAGTGTGGTAAAATGAGGTGCTCCAAAAGGTAGGAACATGCAGACTGTGTGATAGAAATTGCCCGAATGTGTGACCGAAATTGACCGATCGTTGATCGAATTTAGCCGAAATTAGGTATCGGCATCTATTGCTCCTTTGCCGTTACTACTTGGTAAATGAAGGTAAAATGCAGAGAAGTATGCATGTAAAGTAAAGCATCTTTCCGACGCAATTTGGTCATTATAATTCGAACATGTCAACTCTACAGAAGCCATCTCTAAAAACGCACAATTGATTATTGATCGAAATAACCCGAATTTCCCCTATCCACTAGCTAGAGTTCAAATGACGAAGATAAAAGCATTTTTTTAAATGTCATTGTAAAATGAAAAAAAACTCATTTATGGCCTTAGAAATAAAATTCAAATCAGTTTACTGTAGTGGTTTTTAAAGTAATTGATAAATATGTTATTTGTAAATAGCAAATGACACTTCGTTCTCTTTCACTGTTTACACCTTCCTCATATTATTTTCTGTATAATAAAATGTGGACAAAATATATGTGCCGACCAGCAACTCATAACTACCGAGAAAAATATGAGATCAGGTTTATAATTCACTACCAGATGTTTACCTGTCACACACGTTGGCTTGTTTAGACGGAAATGCTCGATCTAAAATGTATACTTTTAGTACATCAGCCCCGTCAATTATCAGTCTGTAATATTTCGCAATAAAATTCTATTAATGAAAATAGATATAGTGCAAAAGCAAATTTTAAACATATGATTTTAAAACAATAACCGAAATTGGTATTGACCGGGTATATTTTTAAAAGATGTGACCATTAAACAATATAATAGAAGACATAATTTAGCAACCAACTTTCGTTTTCGTAATGTCACATGATTTCAAGATGCCCGCCGAATTCTCGTCTTGATAGATATTAATAAGATAAATTTCCTTTAGATACAATAACAACAGAAGGACATGTCTATCTTGGTGTGGACATTACTTCTATATTCCGTACTTTTAATGGTCAAAGCTTATACAACATTGCAGACTATCGATCTAAACGGACAATGGGTTATAACTGATGAAAGTCGGGCATGGGCCGGTGCTTCATCTGACAGTTCACCAGAAAAGGGTACTTAAAGATATCCTTTCATTCTGTTTATTCTTTGGAATAAGGGTCGTTGGTTCTCTCCAGCCCCTTTTGTTTTCTGTGCCAATTAAAACTGGCAGCCACCAAATAGTCAAGAGTGATGAAAGTGGGGTTAAACACCATAAATCAACCAATCCTTTAGCTGCACGGTTCAGTTTTTTAAAATTTAATTATAATGACCTGTCACATCCATATTGACAATAAAAAGAAACAAAAAGTGGTAGGATTGTGTCTGGGATAAAACAATTAAAATTAATTTGGGTTTTATTAATGGAATACATATTACAATATATAAGCATTGTCAGAAGACCAAAGCAGGTACACAAAAGTGTTCTTCAAGAACGATAACTCTTAACCAATTTGGCCTTGAACCACTTTTGATACCACATGTTTTACTTCAACAGGCAAGGATTTGTAAAGACAAATATACAAATCCTTGAGGTAAGCAAGTAATAATTTATCAAAATTATACATTGACAACAATCCTTAAGCAATCTATTAACAATTTAAATATATTTGGTAACAAACAAAAGTTTCAAAGTGTTAGTTTTAAGCTTTACTTATTGTTGAAATGAAACAATGGTGAACATGGGAAGTTATTGAATAATATAGGCAATTTATTTTGTTTATTAAATGTCGATATCTTCAAAAACCTTTCTTTCTAAATGATATTCAAGTTGATGATTAAAGACATTTCATATGAAAAAGAGTTATCTAAAATGTCTAATTTTCTACAGATGAATCTTTTTAAAAGAACATGTCAGTAATTATCTCCCGTTGGATTATCATGATTATAGTCTTACTTTTTTGGTATGCATCTATTGCTGATATAAATTTGTTCAAAAAAGACCCACCTTAATGCTGAGGTCAGTTGATACAATTATTTTTTTGGGAGGAAGCATATTAGAATGTGTGAAAGTAGCAGTATGCAAGACATAGGTATTACAATCTGGCGGCTGCGGCAGTGTCGACGGCGTAAACTATTTCTTTAAAGGGGCATTAGCTGTCAAATTCATGTATAGATTTGACTCAAATTCTCATATTTGATTTATAACATACTAAAACATATATCCAAATTATAAAAAGTCTAAAATAAACAATTTACGATGCATGCACTAGATAGTATGTATCAGTATTTCGTGTGTATTTTAGTCTAGATTCCATCTAATTAATGATTGAGGTGATCTCTGAAGACTGCCGATGGTCATATACATGTATAAACATAAATAAAGATATAAATAGATAGCGAACACATGCAATTGGATGTTTCTAGGTCTGTTTGATTTCATAATATAGGTTTAAAAAAATATGTTAATCATTGTTTTTACCTGTATGAGAATGAGTTTTTGTGGATCGTAATCAGTCAACCAAATGGTTTACCCTTGTTTTTCAATTTCAATGTTGACATTCTTTTCCTTTTAATAGCTGAACACATCTAGTTTTTAACCCATCTCTAGCTAAGGGGTTAAATTGAAGTTCACATGAATATGGATTCAATGAGGTTGAATTATTCACTTGAAAATGAATAATTCATCAGCTATGATTCTTAGCTTATTTTGACATAATTGACCCAAACTGGCTGCTAAAAGCAAATTATTATTTAACTATTTCACTTTCATAAATAATTGAACCAAAAAAATAATATTTTTTTTTTTTTATATCTCGTAGCTATTAATGCTCCTTTAAAGCTTTATATTTCAAAAGGTAGAAGACCTGGATGCTTCATACCTTGTGTGCAGATACCTTATGTAACGAAGTTTCCTACTGTCATATGTCCATTGTCCTTGACCTCATTTTCATTGTTCAGTGACTGCTTGAAAAAAAATTACAAATTACATTTTTTTGGTAAGTGAAATACTCACTTATTATGAGTAATAGGATAACTATATTTGGTATATGGGTTCTTTGCAACGTCTACATGTCCGTCAGGAAGGATTCACTTGACCTCGACCTTATTCCATGGATCAGAGATCAAGGTTAAAGTGACATGGTCAAGTCCGTATCTCCGATACTATAAGCAATAGGTCAACTTTATTTGGTGAATGGAATGACTGTAAGTCGTAAATATCGGACTGACAGGTTTCATCTGACCTTGACCTCAATTTCATGGTTCATTGGACAATGTTAAGTTTTTGTGGTTTGGTCTATTTCTCAGATACTATATGCAATAGGGCTACTATATTTTGGTGTATGGAATGATTGGATCAGTGATCAATGTTAAAGTTACATGGTCAAGTCCATATCTCCGATACTATAAGTAATAGGTCAACTTTATTTGGTGTATGGAATGATTGTCAGGTGTACATGTCCATCTGGCAGGTTTCATCTGACCTCTACCTCATTTTCATGGTTCATTGGACAATTTTTAGTTTTTGTGGTTTGGTCTATTTCTCAGATATTATAAGCAATAGGTCAATTATATTTAATATATGGAACAATTGTGAGGTGTACATGTCTGTCTGGCAAGGTTCATATGACCTTAACATCATTTTCATGGTTCATTGGTCAATGATTTTTTTTTAAATTTTGCCAGTTTATCAGATACTATAAGCATGATAAGCAATAGGTCAACTTTATTTGGTGTATGGAATGATTGTAAGGTGTACATGTCTGTTTGGCATGGTTCAATCTGATCCTGACCTCATTTTCATAGAACATTGATAATGTTAATTTATGTAATACTTGTAGTAAAACCTTTGGCCTAAGATTTGAAGTATACATTATCTTCATTAAAACAACACATGCACACAGGAAGGTTGGGATTGATTTTTGGGGTTATTGTAGTAGCTGTTTTATAGTAAATAGGGGCCAAAAACAAGCATTTTTCTTGTTTCAGGACAATAACTTGTGTATAAAAGTATTGATCACTATAAAATTTTACCACAAGGTTCCATACCTTAAAAGGAAGATTCGGATTCATTTTGGGGGTCATGGTCCAAACCATTCAGGAATTAGGGGCTGAAAAGGGGCAAAAAACAGATTTTCTGGTTCCTGTACAATAACTTGAGTACAAGTCTACGGATTTCTATTTAATTGTGCCACAAGGTTTTATACCATAAAAGGAAGGTAGGGATTGATTTTAGGGGTTATGACCCTAACTGTTTAGGAAAAAGGGGCCAAAAACAGTACTTTTGTAATACTTTGTATAAATTGCTCATTTCTTGACTAATTTCAATGGGGTTTAATTGAAAGTCTTGAATTCTTGGGGTTCTTTAATATGCTGAATTTAACCAGGTATTTAGAATTTGGATTTAGGGCCCTGTTTTTGAATTGGACCATATTAAGGTCTAAAGGGTCCAAAATTAAAACTTTTTTTTGTATGATTTCATCAAAAATTGAATTATTGGTGTTCTTTGATATGCTGAATCTAACTGTGTATTTAGATTTTGGATTTTGGATGTTGTCCTCAAATAGGTCTACATTAAGGTAAAAAGGGTCCAAAATTAAACTTTGTTTGATTTTAAAAAAAATTTAAATTCTTTGGGTTCTTTAATATGCTGAATCTAAGCGTGTATTTAGACTTTTAATTGTGTGCACAGTATTCAAGTTGGTCCAAATTGGGGTCCAAAATTAAAGTTAGTTTGATTACATCAAAAATTGAATTATTGGTGTTCTTTGGTGTGCCCTATCTAACAGTGTTTTAGATTTTTGATACTGAGCCTGTTTTTCAAACTGGTCCACATTAAGGTCCAAAGTATCCAAAATTAAACTTAGTTTGATTTTAACAAAAATTTTATTCTTGGGGTTCTTTGATATGCTTAATCTAAGCATATAATTAAATTTTTGATTTTGGGCACAGTTTTCAAGTTGGTCTAAATTGGGGTCCAGAATTAAACTTTGTTTGATTTCAACAAAAATTGAATATATGGGGTTCTTTGAAATGCTGAATCTAACTGTGTATTTAGATTTTGGATTTTGGATCCCATAATCAAATTACCCCGCATTGAGGTCTAAAGGGTCCAAAATTAAACATATTTTGATTTCATCAAAAATTGAATTCTTGCGGTTCTTTGATATGCTGATTCCAACCATGTGTTTAGATTTTTGATATTGGACAATAATTGGTAAATGTCCAATTTGAAATTATTTAAGTACTTAGACCACATTCATCCTGTGTCAGAAACTCCTATATCAAATATTTAATCAGAGCTGTATTGCACAATTAATAGAAATTATAAGTAGAGTCATAGTTAAAAACAGATGTAGCATCATATGTTTATCTTATTTTAGAGAAGTAATTATGTGTATAGTTTGAAAATTACTGTTCATTATTAGATTATAGAATGGTTATGTAGAGCTGTAAATCTGTCATCTCATGCTGATAAAGGGACAGATAATATAACCAAGGAGGTTATATGAGAAGGAGAGAGGACGAAAGACGATAATTACACATAAAATGTTACCGCCTTTTCTGTAAGTGGGTGTTGATTAGTTGAGATCGATTCGGTCGCAGAGGGAGACTCTGTCCTAATTACACATCCGAGTAAGAACGGAAACACCCGAAGTGTTATAAACCTATTTATAAGCGATGCCCACGTGTTGGAGCTCGAAAAAGAATTTGATCTAGAAATATTCTGGATTTGCAAGACGAACGACTCAACCGACATGAATTGCTTCGTAAATGGTGTATATATATATGGAATTAAAATTTAAAACAAAAGATTTATAAAAAGTGCAGGAAAAATATCAGTAAATAAAAGAATAGACACTCTTTCCTGTGAGTGTCGTGGTATTTTTATTTACAAATTGACATATTTTCCATTTTTTTGATAAATATTACAACCGTGCATGGCCTGAAAAGAGAATTGATTAAAAAGAAATCTACACATACCATGTGTATTGTCACATTTAGAGAGGTACTAATCTACATGCCTGGCAATCCCTAGTATTAATGTACAAAATGCATGTGTTAATTTTCCGACATTTTACGTTTTATCAAGCCAATGAAGTACTGTTTTCAACAAAATCTTAATTAAACTCAG